GGGTCCAACTTACGTGTTCGAGCGGTGCCCGTTTCGTCCATAGTTCACAACTTCACACACTCTCTTCATCGTTTGTCGGTTTGGTTTTCGCACTTTTGGTTGTTTGCTTTTGGTTTGTTGGTTTGGGTTTGGCATTTTTGGTTGCTTTCGCTTTTTTTTTTAATTTTTTTTTTTTTTTTTTTTTTTTTAATGATGATGGATGATGGATGACTCCGTTCCAATTTTGGCATTTTTAGGCTACCCTAACTTCCTCATTTGATGACGAAAGTCGCGGGTACATTTGAGGACATGGCCACAATGTATGCCGAGTGAACATTTGGCCGTAAAAATAATAATAATAATAATAAATTCAATCGCAGAACAACAAATGAAAGAAATGTGAGGCACAAGGCCTCAATAAGCCCTACCGGGCCCTATTTGCAACAGGTCGGCCGCCCTAAGTGAAGGCAGGCCCGACAGACGACAAGAGGCCTATTTTGGACTACTTCGCAACTGGGGTAAATCTGAGGCAGTTGCGCAGCGCCAGTTGGTTGAAGGCGCCCAGGCCCTGGCCTCCTTTTTCAAATGTATCTAAATCAGGCCCTGGGCGAAATACGCAGCATGGACCCAACTCAGACTGTGGGCAGTTGGGCACGGGTAATTGTCGGTGACACTGGGCCTTATTTGTTTGGGCTGAGGCTCAGCCTCCCTGGGTCTACCAGAAGCTTCTGGGCCGGGGCCCAGGACCGCAGCACAGCACGCAGCAGCAGGCCACTTCGATATATGGAAGGGCCTGCCCACGCATTGGACATTCGGCCACTGGCTGCATGCTCCGCAAGCGCTGGCCAGGCTCACGCGCTCACGGGCGAGCTGGAAGGAGCAGGCAGCCATCGCCGAGCTGCGCTGCTGTATGCTGTTGACGTCATCAGCGGCATCGTAGAGTAGGCTAGATAGGATCTGCCATGTGTAGTCTGGGCGCCGAGCGCCAGATAGGATATCACTGATGATGATGAGACTATTCCAGCATTGTCAATTTTGAGCTTTTGGCGTGCTCTTATTTGGTGAAACTCGTGATGCAATTCTGCTATTGGTTCGAGGTCACGACTATCTGGTCTCATGTGTATGATGCTGTTTGATTTCTGAAGTTCACTATTGCTCATCTTCCTTGCAGAAGGCTTGGGAACGCCGAAAAAGCAACAGTGTAAATACTAAACACTAATAGTTGATAAAGATTAATAATCACACATATAAATTTAATAGTAAACAAGCCGACCCTGCAGACTACGCCTGCCTGAAACACCTGCTCCTCGTCCTGACCACACCCGACCCCCAAAAAACACATACATGTCCAGAAAAAACAAAGGGCCTCATTCGACACCACTACAAAACCTCTACTTTGTAAGGGCGCCCTTACGACGAAAAAGTGATCAATTTTCGCTTAACCTATTTTTCGTTCCACAACCACTTACGAAAACCCTACACTTAGGTGCACTTACGTTTCAGGTACTTCCAATTCCATTGTATGCGTTTTTTTTTCGGGTTTTGAATGTCCGACCCATAGTTGTGGTGGAAATAGTCATGTCCGTGACCTTTGGGCCCATGGGACACGAGAATCCGAATTGCGGCGAAGCGAGGCGGGCCTCCCGAATGGGCGCGCTACGTTATCCAGCGGCGCCGAAACACGTGCGCACTGTCCACCAATTTTGAATTCAAATTCCACACCGGCAGTGCGCTCCATATGGACTGTTCGTCGGGTTCTCCCTGCGCGTTAGTGGACACTGCATGGCGCTATTTTCTACCATTGCAGCCAGCGCAGGTGACATCGTGTGTGTGGCGTGCGATGTCTCTCTCTTGCAGCGGTGTTCAGCTATGGACAGTGGTGGAAGTATGGAGGCCGGAGTGAGGAGACTGTCAGTCCATGAGAAGACCATGGTCGCCACTGTCGTCCTTGTGGTCTCTCGGCATATGGAGATGGTAAATGGACTACGGAGGGGGGGTGGGAGGGGAAAGGGGAGGAGGGGGGCCGCCATAGCCCAGGCATTGGCAGACGTCATCACCTCGTCTGGTCTGTCGGACACTCCTTTCCTGTTGTCCAATGCTATTATCGCGGGTGTTCTGCCGAGGGACACTCCTCGGCGGTGGATGAAAAGGTGGACCGGGGGGACATGGCGGGACTTGGACATTGCATTCTAGACACATCCATGGTGGTGGATGGAGACAGACGCAAATCAACCGGAAGACGGCGTCCTCCTCGCACGTCAGCCAGTAGTGCGGAGATGGGACCGAGAACCCCGCCTCGTTTGTCCACTCTGGCAGGTGTGTCGTAAGACGTATGAGTCTACCCCCATGCCAGATCCAGTGTAGACGGGTGGGGCACCCACGCAATTTCATCAGGCAATGGCTGATGGTGAGGGGGCAGATGCGAATACAGATTCGGATCAAACCTGTGATGCACGCTCTGCTCCACCCCACTCCCAACTCCATAGCACCCCCCACCCGTCCCGTACCCCTGTGCCCCCCTTCTGTATCCATCGCCCATATCTGTGCTCGCCGAAGCAGCCTGCTGAAGCTTCTTCGAACCTCTTCTCCTTCGACATCAGCTGCAATTGCCGGCCAGACACCAGCCGTGCAGAATGATCACTAATGCCAACACCCCAAGCAGGAAAATGAACGGAGCCGTCTTCCTCACCATGTCAGCCATGTGCTCATCCCATAAAGTACAAGGAATGGAGCTGGCACCTTTCAAACACGGAGGAAAGGAGCAAGGACCGATGGGTGCCGTCGACAGCCCGCGCTCCAATTTGAACGTTCCCACCAACGGTCATCTCACCCGCCTCTGCACGGACCCCTGCAACGGCCGCCTTCAAACGCCAGCCGAAACGCCCCGGTGGAGGGAATGCAGGGGCAACCGCAATGGCACCGCACGACCATTGGAGTTTGTCGTGGGCCTGCTGTGACAGTGCTGTCCCATGGTCTAGCAGACAAGACTTCGTTGGACCAGGAACGTCAACCAAACACCTGACGTAAAAAAAAAAAACTGTTTTTTCCCGGATGTAAGGGTGCCACCCCCTACTTTCAAGTCACCTCCACGGGCGTCCTTACGTTAAGGTCCGTTTTGGCTGGGGAGTCCTTACTTTTGTAGGGCCCACCCTTACGGCCGCAAATGTGAAAACAAGTTCGACTTGTTTTTCTTCGTGATTAGGGAGGGGTGGAACGATGAAATCTTACATGTAAGGGTTTTGTAGTGGTGTCGAACGAGGCCCAAAGAAACACCTAGTGTGAGTATGCCCTAAGCCTCTTTTCTTTAAAAAAAGGGGCTGATTCTTTTAAGCCCAACCAATTCAATTACCTGGCAAATCTGGACCGGACAGCCTTTCAGGCCTTTTTGATTGTCATTACAGTATTACTGGGAACCCCATAGAGGCCACATCCATGCTCAAGCCTCCAAGGAGGGAACATGTGGGAGCTGCACCCACTAGCAGGTGCGATACCTGCTACAGCAGATGGGCGATACTGGCCAGAGGTCAGCCGGTAGCATCAGGACCGAGCTTCTTTGATGGGCCAGTCACTGTGCCTCCCCTCCGGTCCCCTCCCCCAATGAACATCAGCAGTCTCTGCTAAATGCGACTCGGGGGGACCAACGGTCTATCTCTAGGTGGCGGGCGCCAAGCCTGGCCAGGAAGGTACATGAGGCCAATGGGAATTGAACCCAGGACCTCCTGAATGCCACTTGTGTGCCTTATCAACTGAGCTAGGCCACCGGATCACCTAGTGTGAGTGCAGAGGCTTAGGACATACTTTTAGTGTGAGTATGCCCTAAGCCCCTGGACTAACAAGGCTTCCCCCCCCCCCAAAAAAAAAAAAAAGCGAAAAAAAGCAGCACAACCATGTTCTAGAGGGGCAGATTCGTTCTGTTGTTTTGTTGCTGGGGTTTCAAACTTAGTTCATGCGTGTACCAACTGATCTAGGCCCATTGGTGGGGAGATTCATTCTACCGAAAAGAAGGCCCAACGTTGGCTACCAAAAAGAAAGGAGGGAAAAGTACAACAGTGGTGTATCCCCGCATGTTCTAGCAGTAGATTCCTTCTCATTTTGCACATTTGGTGAGTGCTGGAAAAGGTGGGAAAAAAACAGCGGTGTATCCTCCCATGTTCTAGCAGGAGATTCATTCTCATTTTGCATATTTAGTGAGTGCTGGAGCCAAGGCCCAACGGATCCTACCATTGCACTTCAAGCGTGAGTATGCCCTAAACCCCTGCACTCACGAGGCCATCCAAGAGGAAACAAAACAACACCAGTGTATCTTCCCATGTTCTAGCGAGAGATTCATTCTACTGGACTGAAGGCCCTAAGTTGGATACCAAAAAGAGGAAGGGAAAACAGGGGAACCAAAAAGGGGGGAAAAAAAAGTGCCATATCTCTCAGTGTTCTAGCAGGAGTTTCATTTCCACATTTGGTGAGTGCTGGAGCCAAGGCCCAGCGGATCCTGCCCCACTATGTACTGGTAATCGAACATTGGGGACATTCGCGCACGCAGCCACCGTGCATCCGCGAAAAAAAAAAAAAAAAAAAAAAAAAAAAAAAAAAAAAAAAAAAA